CTATATAACCTATATTCGGCTAATGTCCCGAAGTCTTCTTCTTCCTCAGAGCCGATGATCAGAGTCGATGGCCCACAGGCGTTCGTGCTAGCGATGTGTGTCCTCGTAGTCGTATCGCGTAGAATCTTCATCTCTTCTTGAGTGGAGCATCGCTCGAAAGGAGAGCTCAAATAATAGTACCAATAAAATCTCCTAATAGTGCTTCATACCAGAAGACTCGATCGTTACAACTATGAATGCCCACAACACGAAGGCGAAGAACTGTAGACCATCAACTGGCATCATTGGCTCTGAGTAAGATCCAGACATCGAAGTGCTGGCCGAATAAGAGGTACCTAACAAATATTTTTATAATAGCACCTGTCATCACTTTTAGGAGTTTTGAGTAGTGAAGACATCTTGCCAGGCAAATAAAGTTTGCAACAAAGGAGTTCAGCTACACTCAACCCATCCAAATATCATCGGCTGAGCGATGAAAGGCCTATGATTTCGAGTAGTTGACTTCCCGATGCTCCACCTACAAGTTTCATGCCGCCATTCTCCGGTTCCGTCGTAAACCCTAAGCATACAAATCCACGCTGTGTTAAGAACTCAATGATGCGGCCCACAGCGGAACATACAACGCAGTGATGGAATAAAACGAGGATTCACCATTAAAAATCGCCAGCTCTGATGTCGTGAAGTGTTAAGAAAAGTTCTGACTCGGTCACAGACAACTTACTTGTGCAATTAGTAAACATATTTTTCATGTCCAGAAAATAATTTTCATCATTCATCGTTGTTGACGTTATTTTGCGACACTGTAGTATTCATGATTCCTCTTTTCCTTTATGTCCTCTTGACCTGAATGATCTATTAACGTGTGGTAACTCGAAACCCTTGAGGGTCTAAAGGTCTACTCAAACACAGATTTTTTCCTTCTGTACAGCACCAACAGATGGTGCCATTCTGAGTAGTCCACCCACTTTCAGTTTTGTTAGTTTTATTTAACTCGAAAAATTTGACGTCTGAGAAACATTAAGAAATGTGACATTGATGACAGACTATTGTAGAAAGTAAGATAACGATGCTATCACTTTTTACTTACTGTTTATTCTTCTTCACGGCAGGGTATGATATGAAATACAACTAAAATGATGCTCAGACATTTGCAAAACGCTGGACCGCAGGTGGCTGCCGCGGAGATCGAACCCCGTCCTCTCTGCGGCTAACGTGTTCGCGGCCACACCATGCTCGTTCTTCGTTTCGCTTTTCTCTTAGCCGCGTTTTATAGGCGCTATAAGCAGTAAAATAACAACTGCATAAGAAATGCAAACAGTTTGTAAAAAAATTTCTCTTCTTCTCCGAAAGTGAGCCGTTTCAAAGCAATAAAATGAAAGAGTGCTTGCAATAAATTGCTTGGATGAGGTAATGTAATAGATATTGAAGTGAATAGTGAAGTAATTCCTAGCACGATAGCTCCGGTAACCACTCATTTTTTGTTGATCCGATCAACTTTTCACTTTATTATTAAGTAATTATTAATCGCCAAGATGTTCTTAGTTAAGGCATAGCAGCTATAAACAACCAGTGATAGCACAGATACGTTCGGAATTTACTGCAAGAATGAGCATGTTGAGAATTGATGGTAGCATGTTGCCAGACTATAGTCAATGGTACTTCGAGCTGTGAGCACAAGACTGAGGAATTCTTTATTAGTCGAAAAGAAACAACTACGGATCGACCTACCACAGAGATATGCATATATACTTCTTTCTCTGAAGTAAAAATTCTTTTTGTAGGGCTGAATCTACGGAGAGAAACAGTTGTATCAATGTGGGTGGTTTTTCTTTACTATAATTATTGCACTTGACAACAAAGGAGTCTTGTAACTGATACAAAGAACTTCGACTAGAACGACTACAGAAATCAAATAAAATAGGCAACTGGCTGGCAGACGTACGGCCTTCGAACCGACCCACGACGGAGGAGCGGAGACACTAAGCGAATGTAACGCACTGGGAAAGGGCAAAGAAAAGACCTGCTTTGATGGTAGAAACTGAACAGGTTTTTAATGAGCGAATCACAAAGTTAGGTGAGAGAAGAAATTCTGTCTGCGCACATTTAGAACGAGAACATCACAATACGTAACACTGCGTTATCACATCAAAATCACAAGCGTAACGAAACAGTAATGTACTCTCAGAAAGAGTGAAGTGAATCACACATTAGGTAGCACTACGACTCCATCGATATGCACTTATTGCATTGCACGAATGCCTCGACACTCTTGGTACGGGTCATTCAGAAACAGAAAATTATTTTAATAAAACAGTAGTAATATAAATGAATATAAGACATCGCACTGATTATAGCTACAACGAGAAGCCTATACGACTAAGGCGTTGGTTCACATGTTGCTCACAAGCCTATACTTTTCCTCCAATGACATATCGAAACCACGATGAATGTTCTTTTTGTTCTGACGTAATCTCTCACGAGCTTCCTGTGCAGAAAGGTCGAAAATGTCACACTTGTCAGCAACTGGAGAAACTGCAAAACAAACGGTTGACGTAGCGTATAGTGTCTGAGTTTTACTATTTTTCTTCGTTTCCTCTTTGTTCTTTCTTTTCCTAGCTTAATATTTTTTTTCTGATTCTATTCTTAGCCTAATTTTTTTACAATTTAACAAACTGTAGCCTAAAACCACACGGTTGTGGCATGTTTCCCAAATCAGAGAACATACGAGGAGAGGAGAACGTCCAACTACAAAACGGAGTACACTACGAGAGATTAATAAATTTCTACCGGTCATAGATAATAATTGTACCCACTGAATACACCTAAATCTTCCTCAGATTAAGGATGAAAAAGTGCTGAACGTTGATCAATACACGAGTAATGTATTTGATTTCAAACAGCATCGTTAGAGTGCATATCTGGCCTATATACCTATACTTGCGTTGGCCTACACACGTATCACGTCAGTCCTGCCATCCTCTCAGACAAGTCTGGCACCAATTTGCCGACTCCGGGGGATGGAATACTTGGAGAGCCTGCTGTGGTGCAATATGTAATACAGTACACTCCAATGACCAAGTGTGTGTTGCAGGGTACTTCTAACCACTGTGCTACGTGCCCAAAATTCATTTCACAATGGATAACAGGAAACAAAAGGAAACTCACCGCCTTCAGATGAAGACTGGTATCCATTCGAGAGGACCGGTGATGAAGAGGTTTGCTCGTCGTTCTTAAGCTTTGATTGGTATGTGGGAACATACTGCAAACGGATATAAACGTAGAACAACACTCATTGACTGACCACAAATAAACAACGAACCGCCCCCGTTTGTTAGATGCATAAAATAACCAAAAGTTGTAAGCAAAGTATGCAAACTTATAAACTGTTGTGCGCTAACAAAGTTCCGAACATAAAATGCTGCTAACAAATTCTAACAGAAAGCTAACGAATGACTAAAAAAATATCTATTGCTTTTCTTAAAACATGATAGAGATAAGACGAGATAAAGTTCTCAACCACAATAATGCTGAAATATTTTCACAACTCCGGACCACAGGTGTCTGTGGTGGTGAACAAACGCGCTATTACCCTTTCCGAGGGCTAACGCGTTCACCACCACACCATGCGGGTAGTTCGTTCCGCCTGTCTCTCGGCTAGTTTCCTATCGATCAGTTCCATCGGCAATCACCTGCCAACGGAATTGATCTGGGGAGCCCAAATCAGCACTGAACCCAGTTAAGCTGAAGGTGTAGTCGAAATCACAATGTCAACTTTTTATTTACTGGCTATTAAACTTTCATTCAAAAAATGACCACAGCTAATAACTACTGATGAGTTTTCTATGTGTAAGTGAAACCGTTTTCAGGAAGAAATTAAGACAAACCTTTTTGTAAGACCGACATTTTAAATAAAACTGTGAGCACTTGCATTTTGTTTGATATCGTTAAGGTTCTTCGATGTTTCATTATTAGGAACTATAAAGAAACTTAGTTTCCATGTCAATACATAAATTATATATTTCAGAACCGACTTTCCTTTAACCTCGGCATTACTAATCAATATATATACTTTCTTTGATAAGCTTACACGAGGTTGACAAACAATTTTTGCTCGGTTAATGTTTCGACGTCTACGTCTTCATCAAATACGCAAAAATCCCGCCGTCCCCAACTTTAATAACAACCCGGCTAATAATATCCTAGCTGTAGTTTTTTTTCCTGTGTTGATTTTAATAGTTAAAATTGGCCAAAATCATAACCAAAATAGGAAATATCGACAACTCAAAAAACATATACAACATTAATATTAATTTCTAGAAAAAAAAATAACAAAACATAATTAACATTATCCTTAGGTATTTAAGATTTCTATCTGGTTCTCTAATAATAAGTACCCCAGAGCCGATGATCCGTGTCGATAGTGCGCGGTTCTTCTTCGTCTCGACTTCCCGGGAAAAACGAATTATTATCACCGAACAATCACTGCTGCCGACCATCAGCATCTTGCATGAAAGGACATCCCCGAATGAGTATACCTCATTCGAGAGGTGGTCCGCTGAGGAAGACACAACTCGATGCGAAGGCGCAGACGCCACATCGAGACAAAGAGGAACCGTGAACTATCGAACTATCGACTCGGATCGTCGGCTGTGATGAAGAGGAAGACATCGAAACGTTAGCCGAATAAAAATTGTTTATCAGCCTCGTTAAGCTTACCAAAGAAAGAATGCATGCTGATAAATTACATAATTGTCTAATCACTTGGATTTACGCCCAGTTGCTTATCTATTAATAAAAGCTGATGAGTTCAATCAAAATCGTTGATGATGGGCGGAATACTGAATCAAAAGAGAGTCAAAGAAGATTTGCATCACTTTGTAGGAGAAAAACCAGTAGTTAATACCTATGTTTGGTGTTCACGGCAAACTTCTCAGTCTTAAAAATAAGAACCCAATAAGGAGTGCTGTAAATAAACTAGTAATAATTGTGCTGTAAATAAACTAGTAATAAACTACCGCCACCAAAAACCAAGTTTCACATACATTCGCAACGTCGACAGCGTTCTGGTGCGACAAAGAATGCGTTGAGTTAGTGCAAGACGAGTCATGGATTTTCAGCTCTTCGTGTTGCAGTTCGTTGGCCTTCATGAGCGGTTCTGGCGGCGTCTGAGTCTTCGACAGTGCCGGTAGCGCCGAGAACACTGCCTCGATAATACCGTCATTGTACGCTGTGTCCACAGCTGTACGCTCACTTTCAGTCTGAACGACAGAGACGTGAGCCTGGCGGTCCTGTTGAGATAGTTCAACTCCGTGCTCCTGCTCTTGAGCAACATCATTTTCGTGCACTTCTTCAACCTCAATGTGGTCGACGTCTTCACTTAACTAGAAACAACACAATGAACTCAAAAAACAACAAAACATCAACGACCACTAACATAAACGGAAAACGCCACAATAAACTTCACAATTTGCAAATGCATTTGCATATAACTACTATCCGAAGGGCACAAAGATTTTAAGGCTAAGCAAAACTGTTAAAATGGCCCATAAATTGGGCATCAAGTGGCAACGACAGGGTTGTGTCAGTGTTAAAAACGTATATAAAAAATTAATGCCCAACTTATGTGACATTTTTCACCAAATAAAAACGCATAGATAAGAACCTGATGTTGTGAATTCAGTTGGTGAGGTTGAAGGTCATCATCGTCACTAATGTGTATGCTCTGAAACAATTATTGAACAGAGGGAAACAGAAAACTGTCAGTATACCAGAACAAGTTCAATAGGACACGGTGGAAAGACCGTGGGAAAACGAGCGACCAGCGAGTCATGGTAAGTTGACAGAAATCGCAAAGTAAAAATATGAAAAGGTTTACTGCGCAAATCAGAAACGCAGAAAGTGTAGAAGTTTGAAAAACGAAGATCCAAAACGTAAATCAGCGCTATTAGATTGGATGTAAATTATGAATGTTCAGGCTAAAGACAGTGTTCCTGTGTGTTCTGACCTCATTAACTCGAAATCTCAGAGAATCACCGTGCATATGAAGTCTTCTTTGTGGAAGCTTAACAAACTCTCGACCATATGCATCGGTTTCAATGCATACCTGGTCGAAAGTAACCTAATCTTTCCACTTTAAATAAATATTTCTCAGTTCGTAGCGAAATCTACTAACTGGTATAAAAATACTGGAATCAAACTGATCTTTTCCAACAAGATACAGAGTTTCTCATTCTACCATGATGAAATCCAATTTTTTGAAACTCGCAGATCGTTTCCTTCTAGCTTCAAATCGTTATAGTACTCTACTCTAATACCGAAACGATCGAAGGAATGCAACATCGTCCGGTAGGACACGCTGAGGTTCTCAAATGCCCAAGTCCGACTTTCTATTAACCTCGGCATTGATTGAATAATTCTTTCTACTTCTGTTCAGCAAACACGAGGTGCTATTTTATTTCTTTATTTACGTACAAGCTGACGTTTCGGCGGATTTCGCCTTCCTCAGAACCTGGAAAGGTCAAGTTGACTACAATCTACACGGCCAAACACCTTCATAACCAAACAGAGAAAACGCTAGACGAAGATTCCAATCACATTTAACATAGCTCTGCACACTCACCGCTTTCTATGACTCTTCCACTGAGTATGTCGCGTGAAGACCGACCGCACAGAATTCACATGGAAGCGTAATGTGCCCATCCCATTAGAATAACGGGTTTATATACTGTCCAATATCACGCATGATAATGCGGCATTCCTCGCTGTGGTTCATTTTCGGATTCTTGGAATTAATCCGGAATGCCTCTAGAGTTTTGCGCGCTTGTGTTCTCGATTCTTGCGCGAGGATCGTAATCCTTACTTCAAAATCTTCTCCGTTATGTCTCTGCGCCCTATGCGTGCCTGGTGGAGTATTTGGTTTACGTTTGCCGACTAGGTGTTCTTTTGTACGTACGCAGAGTGGTCTACCCGTTTCGCCAACGTATTCCTCTCCGCACGCTTTACAAGAGATCAGATAGACTGTACCCGAACTCATGCAGTCACCGTCTCTACCATTGGGGCAAATTATGCAATTTTGCGTTGCACATAGACGGTCGTATAGGCGGTTACGAACTAGCTGGCTTCTTAGATTACTCGGTGGCATTACAATTATCGTTACCGAATTCTCTAGATCGGCCATTCTTAAGCAGCGTTTTATAGCTGCACTTACTTTATTTGAAATGAAGGGCAGTATAAACGGGACCTTGTTGTCGCTAGAATTATTGTTGGGGTACCTGTGGTTTCCTCTACACTTATCTCGAGCTACAGTTTCGTAGCCATTAAAAATATGAAAAAAAATAGCACCCCGTGTTTGCTGAACAGAAGTAAAAAGAATTGTTCTCAAATGCGTCACTAACGTAGACAACTGTGGCGATTTCTTGAAATAATAACATTAAAAAAGCCTTCTGGAAGGGTTATAACACGCTTAGAACGAAAGCGCAAAGTTTCATTTAGGGCTCAAAAAATCTAAATGGTGGATAATATCTTATCATTGTAGCACAAAATGTTTCTTAGAAAGAACAAGGCATAAACAAGCATGTAGAAGCTCTAGTGATACGTCTTTTAAACAACGACAAGGTCATTCTAAGATAATTCTCTAGTATGAGCAGAGAGAATAACAGTAGAAGACGACGAGCTGAAAAGAAATTCATTTTTTACAGCTTAAGGCTTTTCCAGAAGTCACACAACATTCCCACAATGAGGATCTGAACCCATTAAATACCGAAAAGCGACCACAGACTATTGCACTATTCCACTATCGTAACTGTCTACACTTGACTTCTATAATAACCGCTTGTGGAGAGAGCCCCTGGCTACGGTGGTAAAACCCTGGCAATTAGTTTTTGCCAATTTTTAGAGGCGAAATGAAATAAAGACGAGGACACGCGCTTTTTTTACGTGAAAGGTAAATAAAATAACAACTTCCAAACAAAAAAAAAACTAGAAAAAACTAGAACGAATCAGCAAAGCATCCACAGCATCGTGGTGCTCTCACAGATCCAATGAAACCAGATCAATGAGGTCAAATCTGAGAGCACAACGTAGGGAAATAGTAGTTGACAAAGGCAAGGCAAGACGAGACGAGTGATTGACTGATGGAAAGTGAGATTCGAAAACTTACATGGAGGCTGAGTTGCTTGCTGTTCGAGACATTTTCCTCGACATAATCGAATGAATACTCAGCATTGTGCTCTTTGTACCATCGGTCAACGTTTTCCGAAGCGACCAGTAGCGTGGTACGCAGTGGTGAACGTTTGATTTGTGCGACCACTTCCTGGATGAATGTCCAGTTCCGTTAGAGGCACTTCCGAATTTATTCATCAGAAATTCAGGGTTGGGCTAACCAGTAGAAGACATCATAAGGGCGAAAAAAAAACAAAAAACACCAAATAACTTACTTTGTGAGGTGTATTCGGATAGACAAGTACCCCGTTAACTCCGACAATACGCTGACCCATGCGAAGACCCGCGCGATCCCCTATGCCACCTTGGTCAACGGTACCGATAAAGTGACCACGGCCTTTTTCAGCGTGCAAATTGAAGCCGAACTCCTCTGACGGCGAAGATTTCTCCTTAAATATCAATCAGTGCATTCACATAAACTATTCACAACGTGGAGAACTTACTAATTCACATAAACGAGGTCTGGGTTTGTTCATGTTTGGATCTTCTTGGGGAGGTGGTGGAGCGACAAAAACAGGATCAGTAACCTAAAAAATAGCTACTTAAGGATTGAATGTCCATAATGTTGAAATTCAAAGTTAAATATCATGTGAACTATGCATATCCGAAATCTGTAGTAAAAAGAGAATAAATGAAAACAAAAAAAGTTCTATGCGTCGTAGCTATGGTCGGATCGGATCGGATATTTAAACAAATTCATCAATAATTACGAAACAACTGGAAGACTCCGTTAATATTCAAAAATATTAAAGACTACTTAACACCATAGTAACCTACTATTCCGATAAGTTTCTATACTACGTCAGAATTCGAGCTCGATGGAATTCGAATTCGAGCTATCTGTACAGCACAACGAGCTTCTCGAGTGCATTGTGTACAATGCATGAGTAGGCGTTCGTGTGTCAATGCACCCAACGATAGGGCTGAGCAGACGATTATTCACCAACAAAGCGCATCATACAACCGAATGGTACTATACAAATAAGCACGCTATTAGACGCCACAAGGACAAACAAAACATGCTGGTCTCCCGCCGCCCACCAGCACCGGCAGCACATGCGGCCCGTGTTCACGCTTCTCACGCGGTTTGCAACAACTAAACCTGTCCTTTGATGACTAAGCTAACACGCTAACACAGGGTGTTATAAAGTTCTATTCGACTAGTGTTTCGACATCTTCGTCTTTTTCGCGGATTGATTCGAGTCGATGACCCAAAGTCGGTGGAAAATACTGAATAACAATTCTAAGGTTAAATGATTGTCGGTTTTGGAAATCACTAAATCCGTTCTGATGGAAAACTCGCGTGGGAAATAAAAGAATCTATTAGATCCAATACTACAAATGCTTGGGCACTTGCAGGCAGGACTATCTAGTTGAAACTGTACATATTACTTTCTATTTGAAATATACTGAATGGAAAAAAGGAAAAGACAACGCTCAAAAACACGTCAGAAACTCAGAGAGAAGTTTCAATGTTAGAAAATTCAATGGCAACATCGTTTTCATGTGAACGAGACATTCCATGGCAGATAAGCGCCACAGTACACCGAAGACACCGAACACTGGTCTCAATATAAACGAGCTTGTCTTTAACTGAATTTAAAGACTTGAATTGAGAACAGTTCAAGGTATTCAAGTGTTTGAAAACCCTATCATGTAGCGATGCAATCACAGTTAAGTTGTCTATAATCTCTAAGTCTAAGTCAATGAGAATTACAAATGAGAGTTAGTCTATGCTGCCTTCAATAGAAAACCTAACAAAAATTGGAGAAAAGAACACAACTGCCGTCAGCTACACTGCATAGTTGAGAAGCGGCAGGAGCACATTCCAGTCATATTCATCACAAATCAGCAGCAATTTTCAACAAAACCTGAATACCCATGCATGATGATACTATGAAAAGTATATAACATATAATATGTACATATTTCACAATATGCCCTGCCAGTAAGCAGTAAGTAATAAGTTAAAATTGTTATTGTAACTACAGCCTCAGCTTAACTGGGTTCAATGCCGATTTGGACTTCCCACATCAATCTCGTTGACGGGTGATTGATGGCACCGATAGATAGAAAACTAGCTGAGAGACAGGAGAAAAGAAGGACCAGCCCAGCATGGTGTAGTAGTGAACGAGTTAGCCCCCGGAAAATGTAATAGCGCGTTCATTCCCCACCATAGACACCTGCGGTCCGGAGTTTCGTAAATATCTCAGCATCATTGAAACTATAAAAAGTGTACACTCGACAAGAATTCAGCACGCAGTAAAGTCCCGACGTATGATACATAACCAGAATTAATGACCTATTCTCAGATTTCTATCAGCAACCACTGTAATCTAGCCAACGTTCTACTATATCGCATCATTAACATTGAAAAAGATTCTCAAATTGGTTTGCAGTCACTGAGAAAAATAACACACATCAGCCTGTCATATGACACTTCGAAACCTCATCACAACAATAAAGGAACTTTTAAAACCGGCCTTAACCACGCTGAGTCATTTCCTACATGCCCACGACACTATTCGAAGACCCCCGCGTAAACAATGGCGAGTAGAACTTCTCAGTAGAAAGACAAATCAATGTCAAGAAAAATCTTATGCGAAATGGCATGGGCTCAAAGAGTTACAACTGCAAGGATGCTACGGTAAACTGAAGGTTTAAATTAGTTCAAAATCCTCGTCAAAAAATTGGAAACAAAGCATGAAATTGCGCTATTTTGTCTTCCATAGGTTAAAAATCCAAGTTTCCAGAACAATGTTATTTTCACAATGTTGCTGCATGGTTGTTACAAATCGTAAAACACCTTGAGGCAGTAGATATTGCAATATAACCGAGGGAAGGTGTTCCACAGAATGAATGAAAATCCGTTTCATATGAAATTAAGATAGCGTAGTTAAAGAAACTATATAGAGTGGTCCAAAAAAAGTAGTGAGGAAGGAACATTCCGTTCTCTACCACAAAACTAACGGGTTCTAATCAACGGAGGAAAATGGAAGTGAGCATGTATTCTTTCACTGATAGGTTAACAAAATAAACTTTGTTCGGCTAACTCTGAAAGTGAACCATTGTAATAAGCTCAGGATGACCAAGAAGGTCGCTTCCAGACCGTCAAAAAATGGTGTAAGCTGTAAAGAATGAGGATGGATTAGTGGTTGACACGTGATGCATGGAAGAGGACAATGCCCACCCCGAAGAGGCGAGAATGTTACCGTCGACGAAGCGCCGTCCGACTGGTTATCACGGGAACGGACTGATCGCTGCACGAGCAGAACTGTGCCTGTTCATCGACGCATACATCACACGCAGATCATCCCTACAGGCCAGTGCTGTTGACAAACCATCCAGAACATGACCCATCTACTGAATTGTTATGCATGCGCAACGTAGAAGCTTGAACGAAAAGCGAAACACGACTATGTCGTACCTGAAAGGACAACAACAAAGGCTGTACTCTTTGACGAATTAAGAGAACTCCGAAAGCTAATCGTATGGTGGATAGTTGATCTTCGTGGAAATCGCAATGCCGTCGTGTTTTTAACATTTCCCAAAGAAAAACTGATCTGTTCCAACACCACGCCAGCGAACACAACACCGATATCGACCGACGACGCATTCTTCCGGTGGCTCGATCAATAGCGCGTATTAATTCAACTAAAATCGCACGTAACAACAAGTGAATTCCACTCAGCAAGTGAGGGGATGGTTCGATTGACAGGATTTCCTCATGAATCTCAGTGCTTTATTAGGACGCAACCGAACCTCTGAAAAGGAAAAGCGCTAGCAAAAAATAGCAGCATGAAGCCACAGAAATACGTGGCGAGGAAGCTAAAAACGCCTTTTTTTAAGCCGAATTAGTACTAACCTGAGATAAAAATTCCTCTAAAATATGCTCAGATGCCAGACTACGACTTTCCGAGACTTTGCACAAATGTCAACGGCAAATACAGTAGAGGAGAGTGATAAGCAAGTGATAGGCACGGAGATATCCCAGGTATACTAGCTGATTATGAACGGAGAAATGAGGTTGTATCTATGAGAAAAACAAAGGAATACCCTACAACCAAAGAGAAAGAGAGTAGATTCCAATAAAGTGGGTCATCCGCTTCCAGAATTAATCAACTAACGAACAACACCAGAGGACGCTGAAGACATTGACGATGCCTCTCCTTCCATCAAAGGAAGGCTAATAGGTCTCATCAAAACTTCTAAGCAATGCTTTCTATAAACGCAAAGGCAAAAGGAACAGTCTGAAGTGTCAAAAATGAAAGACATTATTGCTAGTTAAACATCATTCTCACGTGTAACATTAAAAATAACGACCGAAACGGCATAGTAAAGAAAACGGTGCTGGCTTGTTCAGGAAGAAAGCATTCAACCGAATCATATCCACACGACAAGAAGACCTTTACCCATCGATATGTGTATACTTCCATTCTAAATCATTGTGCCCTTCTTAGGGTGATATTCACAGGGATTTGTCGAAAACACTGTTTTCAGTGAAAATGAAACATTACAGATCAGAAAAGTTTCAAGTCAAAAGAAAAACTTAGCATGTGTAACAATATGGGTGAGATCCTAGTGGTTAACTAGAATAAAAGATGAAGGAATTAACTAGTAATCATTACACAAGGTTGCGCGTGGTGCAGTGGTCAGAGGCGCCTTGCGACGCACACATGGGATCAATCTCTGCGCCCATGGCTCACCAAGCCTTTCGCCCCTCCGGGGTCGGCGAATTAGTGACAGACTTCTCTGGGAGGATGGCAGCATGGCTCGATACATCGGTAGGTCACCGCGAGTCAAGATTTGTAAAGGCAAGATTTGCATTCAATTACCTACATGCTTAATGAAGTCGAATACGTGGCGCATCCCTTACGGATTGATCAACGCCTAGAGCTCCATCCTTTTATTCAATACTGGAGTAAAGCAAAACTAATAAGATGATTACCAGTGTTTCTCAATACATAGAATTGAGTGGGTTGCTGTAGGCATTAGTATGAGATGCTCGAATTTAATAAATCTTATTACATCCCCAATTAATGTAATGATATTTCCATCACTGGAACTGGGCATAGTTAGAGAATAGTTAGAGTTATCAAACCAAATCTACGAACAACATCGAGAAGTTACTGAAAAACGGAATTCTTTCGTCGCGCACGGGAAGCTATTTACTACCAATGAACACAAGGCATCAATGAGAATGTCTCGAAGAGAAAATTCCACCACCCCACCCCTTGTCCTTGCAAAAGGATCTACGAACTTGTCAACAATTTCACCTACAGATAGACGAAAACACAATTATTCATTGATTGCCGTCGTTGTCAGTACTTGAAATATGATTGAATCTAACGCCTCAGCGGTTTTTCTAAATGGATCGCGCAAATCGCTGTGGCCTTCATTCATGAAACTCACGAACAACACAAAACAACGTACTCCATACTAGATATGAGCAAAAGGTATTGTGGAATTAAACACTTGGGACTGGAGCGATCCTCCCAAGTGAGAATCAATGCGCATCGCAGTATGCAGAACCAGTTTTAGCAGCTCTTATATCGACAACAATACAAGAAACCTTGGCTCAGCTAAAAAATATGAAGTCACGTGTGACCTAGAAAAAAATCCGAAACAGTGGAGAGAGACATAGAAGTAACTGGTGGCTAGCAACTCGACGTGACAAGCCAAACGGTTTATCAATAACTATGCCAACTCATTACATACCAGCAAAGTAAGCACTCGAAATGCTCGGCACTAAGGATATGCTGCTATGGGCGCCAGCTATACAATCCGGCATATGCCAATAGCTAACTGCTTTTCCAGTGCACAATACTGAGATATGAGAAAAAGCTGCTATTCTAGTAATTGATCTCTGAGAGAGAACGACAGTAGCTGATGAAAATTCGTCACAGTTCTCATCGAAAATGGAGATTGACGATGCAGAGAAGATCGATAAGCACAGATGATCAGTGAGTTTTTGAGGCTACTTTGAGGTTATCACTATTACAAGCCCTTATGGATGAACGCAGCGTGTCTTTATCACTGATAATACGACACGGCATCGAACGGGTGCACTGACATACGGCGAGGTCGGCCGGCAGCGCTCCGTGTGCAAGCAGGTGGGAATGGAGGAATACTCGCCGGCACCGCTTGTATTTGCACACAGGTACAGCGTGGAATAACAACAATCCCTGACCTCACCCTTCTCCACATAGTGGGCGCTCCACGTCCCGTGAACTACGATAGTCACTGAGAACCTCTAGGAAGATAAAACTCTTCATAATGGGAACTTCGCTAGAGGAGATGTAGATCTGTTGACATTGAGAGGAACTAAGCGCTCTGAAGGTAATGTGATACACATCAAACCCGACTAATCGATATAGTCGTTATTCTACGAAATACAAACAGTAGAGAAAAATAGGAGTGCACAAAATCAACGCAGATCGATTACTAATTAGTGCAAGCAATGACCACTTCAATGTGCACAGTTTCCAAACCAACTAAGAAATGTCTGAAGTCTATTAGAATATCTGGGTGTTTTCCTCAATAAACTTCTTTAGGAGATGTTATGCTCGAAGAATTGAGAATATACTTTCTTGAGGATAAAATGTCTTACATTCCGCTTTTAAAATTGGAGAAAAAAATACATTTGAGTACAAGTTCGTGTACGTTTTTAACTAACAGAGCTGTTCAGTTTATCGTAGGCCACGAAGAAGCGCTAAATTGAGTATCTACAAATGTTGATGTCCTTAGCTGATGGCTAAGGCAAAGTTAACAATCGTAAAAGTCGCAAGAAACTCGAAACAAATGAAAAAGATTTTAAATCGCGCATAGGTTTTTCCATCTAAACAGGGCACTGTTCTGCATCTTGAGGTAATACATCGAATTAGGGAGAACTCGGACTACAAATTTAGACATTTTCTTCTGACTTCTGTTGACTTCTATGATATCCGGATCATTACTGCACATTGTAGCCATTTTCTTATGCTCGCCATTTGTGTGCAAATAGGGAAGAGCGAGGCGCAATTGTTAGAGGAGCTGCTAAACAATACGAGCAATGTCACTCGCTCCATCCTAACCATAGTCAAATAAGCCTCTCATCTTTATGAAGTCGACAAATTGTTACCAGACTTTGCGGAAATCCAATCCTTCTATCAAAAAAGCCGGCGATTGCTTGTAGTGAAGGCCGAGAACATCGGCCATAGCATAGCCAATCCCAGAATTGGAGCATAAATGTGATGGATGGTACCAGCATCCAGAACAATTTATAAGGAAAACCAAATCCTCAAGCAGTTGCGGAATCCAAACGAGTACCCAGCTTCGTGAATGATACCTACTAGGATACTTGGACGCCCCGTCCTCACTGGTTGTGCGAGCCACAGCATAATATCCATTTTTCGAAGTTTTACTGGTTTAGCTGTTGTGTTACCGTAGAGGCCTGAGGTGAGCCTGGCCAGAGTCCGCTCCAGGTGGTCACTACCGCAGGCAGTCGCCGCCCGTATGGATCAGAGGGAGATTCGCTACTATGCGACTAGTTTGATAGGAAAACGGCGGTGGATCATGGTATTGGTTTACTCTTAGCTGGGCTTCTTGAATGAAACGCGGATTGTTTCTCGGCTTGGAAGGCCCTGCGGTGGCAGTGAACCCTACCCTACGGTGTACACAGCAGCTCGACACCCAGGAACACCTCCCAACCACGATGAGGCGGTAAACCGCTGAAAGGTTGGTGAATGATAGAAACGAGATTAAATGAAGGAAGTGCTGGGATCCATATAATGTGTTGTATCGGTCATACAAATGGAAATGAAGCAAAGATACAAACGTACAAGTTATCCCCCAAAATTACCACCAGTATTCAACTTAATGGGAAAAAACATTCATTAACACTACACCCACACCGCCGCTCTTCCCAATAACTTCCTCTGACACGGCTAAAAACACAAATTGCGGCTAGTGGGTGAAATTCCCATCCACAACTGTTACACCATATACAAACAGTACTGAAAAGCCGATCCGGTTTTGCGTTGGCCGTTATAAACAAATTTTTGTGATGTATGAACTTCTGCGGTGTGGTACGGCAGAAATAATACGGCAGAAGCAACTATCAGAATCTGTCACCTCATCGATTGCCACATAATAGCAAAACGAAATTGTTAGAAATGAGATGTTTAACGACAAAAAACTCAAACAATGCAAAGTCCCAGATTTACCGAAATATTTCCTCATCGGTGTGTTAGAAATGAGTTATAAAACAAGAACTTTCATTGGCGATTTTCTAGGCCTTAAGGTACGCCGGTAGGAACTACGAAACCATTAACTTTTAGAATTGTTGAAATAAAATGAAATGAAATATTTACCTTGTTCTTTGCTTCCTTGACTTCATACTTGCTTCTTTCATTAATCAGTGCCGAATTAATACGTTTTTTGCAGTCTTCGTCTACGATTTTGCACAGTGTGACAAAGAACAGCACGAGGGCTACAAGTTCCAAGAACATCGTGGTAAATGGGAAACTGATGGGACGTGATACGGTGGGATACAGCGTCGTCGACGAACGATACGAATGATAAGTGCTCGAGACGACGAATAAAAGATGCTGACTAAGCTCGGCCGTTAATCCTGAGAGAAGGCGTCGATACACTGCGGTACTCAGGTCACGAACTCTTCTTTATTGCACTTTTCACAGAAAAGCAGTCATGAGCGGAAGTTATCCTCATATTCACGACTATCAGGCGGTAATTTCAAACGGTAGGACGAAGGGAAAGTGTTTAGAGTTCTGCAGAAATGACACCGATGTATAGAAGTGAATACGACGCACGCCCACTGACTCAACATAGCGCTCACAGTTGCGAAGCGAATAGACAACAACCGTCATGGGAAGGGCTAGATGCTGTGAAAATGACTAAATAATGTACGATCAACATCCAAAGACGACAACGACGGCGAAAAACGTTCGCATTCGAAGGCCACTTAAGTAATCACTGTAGCGCGGGTCAACTAATTTCCATAGAACGGAAAAATGTCGTCAAAAACAGCTACAAGCTATAGCGAGAAAAAAAATATCAGGCAATAAGCTCAGATATCGGCATAGCAGCTCTTAGTAAAAGGAAAGTAGAAGTATGTTTCCGGCATATCGTATAAGTAACCAAAAGAAAATCTCGAACCTTTGTACTGGGTGCATACCATCCAGCTGCTGGTGGGGGACTACCATTAGCTTTAGCATTGCGGCGATTGGCCTACAAAAAAGGTACATTTTTTACAACTACAACTCAAATCTACTAGCTGCTGGATATGTTATTAGGTATGTACAAACATCGTCGCCGATTCGTTGTATATTTGGAAGTTTCAGATTAATTTCGACTCCACGTTCGTTGTACCATTGAGCTCCTTCTTCGGATATGACCAACATTTCACAGCGAAGAGCATTCTCCTTGATACGTTCCACTACCTGAACTAATGATTGATCGGTATAATTTGTAAACAAATGTTGAAAAATGGAGGGAAACACCAAGAGTACATTTGAATATTATATTCTTAATAATGTTGAAAAATTTTTCATAAGTAAACTGATGGCATGTGAAAACTCGCGGAGAAATTCACCAACGGTGGACTGAGTTTTTAGTCCATCACTTCGCTAGTGATGGAAAGCATTCAAATTAACAAAACATTCAAATTAACCAACCTTTTTATGACTTTCTCCGATAATGTTATGACCATTGACAGCAAAAATACGATCGCCCATACGTAGTCCACCCAATTCCGCAGGGGATCCCTAGATACGACAGTGAATAATCGGAACGACAAAACATTTGAGAAACTCACAATGTTAACTTTTCATTTGCTGTCTACTAGAATTCTTCACAGCAAGATGCAATGTGAAATAAAACGGTAATGATGCTGAAATATTTGCGAAACTCCGGACCGCAGGTGTCCACAGTGGGGAACGAATGCGTTATTACCCTTTCCGGTGGATAACGCGTTCACCACCACACCATGCGAGTCGTTCGCTTCGCCTATCTCGAAACTTGAGGAACTATTAGAAAAACATACTTTGTCTACCACACCAACGAATTGACCACGTCCTTTTTCCGCATGTAGATTATATCCGTACTCCTATAAACAAAATGCTATAAACAATCCTGTAAAAACCTTCGAAGAACCTGCCCAAGTTCCAAAAAAGTCATAACAAAAGCAATAGAAGAAAAGCACTAAATCTCTTCCTGAATTAAGAGTTTACCTGATCAGGAGACGATTTCTCCACTATGCACAGCCTTGGCGAAGGAGCGTCTTCCGGCAGATGAACCATGATAAACAACTACTCAGGTAATACCACCAGCTGAGGGCAAACTTAAGTAATAATGTGACGTCATATAAACAGCAATAGGGAAGAAAATAGTCGACATAGTTAAGGCAAAAAAACGACATCATGTATGAAATGGGTAGAAAACAAAATAAGGACCCAGATGAAACCCTATACGTGATTCAAACAAAAACCATTTGACGAATTCGACGAATAGTAATGAAGCTGCGACAAACAACACACGAAATAATTCATTCAGTTCTAGGTGATTTGTCAATAACAAATTCAGGACACATCGTGCTGTACGTGCAATATTAGGAAGCTCGACGAGGATTCTACTCAACTAAAAGAAAATTCCTCTTTATTGCTTAACCACTGAGCTTTCTTAAAAATATCGTATCTGAGGAAAAAAAATGAAATAACTGGCTAGGAAACCAATACACAAACACTATGGCCTGCAATGGAAATGGCATGGATACTAGATCTCCTATACCGTCGACATAGAGAGATAAAGATCTGTGGTCACAGAGATCTGACAACGACGAGATAAAGGCGACGACGAAGAATGGATACAACAGTAGTTCACACCTAAGAACTTCAGCGTGTAATGAGAAAAGAACAGAAAAAAAAGATATGATGTAAAACTCTAGTGACTCCTAGCATAAAATGAAGGTAATCTAGAGCAGATTGAGATTAAGAATTTTTCATTTTTCTAAAATGCATCTTTGTCGTCATCAAACCCCAGATCGATTTCAAGATCTCTGACGAACGAGTAGGGAGGAAAGAGTACAGGTCTAACTCGTAACTATCTGGAGCTAATTTCCATGTTTAGTTTCGACTGCCACGGTATGAATTATCGTTGGGAAAACAGATTGTTTTGAAATGAATCATAAACGATCCCCTACAGAACGGCAACGCGGGGTGAGTTACTTCATTCGTCACGCCGTCCCATTCAACTTCAGTAGACCAAGGGAGATTGTGAAGACATTAACAAATTCCTAAAATCGGTATGCTGTGAGCGGCAGACCTAACACGAAGCAATTTTGATACTGTCGTTGTCACATCGAAAATAAAAGTCTTCACCAACCGAGCATAGGAATGTAACTAAGTCAGGGAAGTGCCAGAAACTTCCGCTTGATTAAACGCCTTTACTATGCGCTTAGACCGAAACGGTAACTTAAAGATGAGCAATGAGATAGGTGACAATAAGTACATTGCGGATCGAATCGTTTAAATATCAAATGAGTTCAAGAGGCAGTGAACAGAAATGGTCTTCAGAAAATTGCTTAACAAAGCCTGCCAGGAAGGAAGTTAAATGATAAAAAAGTGGTGCCGAAATAAAAACGGAGGAAAAAAGATAAAGTGGGAACTGATGATGGCCAGAATCAGATCAATACGGATTTAGTTCGGCTCGAGAACAAATACAGTGTATCGACGCCACTCGTTCGCAATATGTATGCAAAGCCATAATCCTCTAGTATTACACTCATAAGCACGTCATACGATGGATAGCCGATTGGATAAAGCGATTACCTAAGCAGCACAGCGTGCACGTTTTGTGGTACAGTAGCCAGATGTAACGAGTTTCGTCTTCAGTGTGATGATGATTGACAGCTGTGTTCTACCACAGTAAGTATTCAACCGTGTCAACGATATTCGAAACACAAGAAGCGCCGCATGTGCTACGATGACAAAAGTTTCAGAGCGAACATGACTGGAGTAACATCTTCCACATCTGTTCCGAAGCCGAAACAACTACAACGGGTGTTGAATTTCAGAACACAAAGGCATTCCATAGTGAAATAAACAAAAGGTTGTAGAACCTGGCCCAAACGTAAGAAAAGTTTTTGTCTTCCAGGACCTTGCGAAACTAAGGACTGCGCTCGCATCATTACGCACGAGTTCTTGACATACATCGACGAAGCAAGTGCAATAGCGTAGAACTACCCAAAGGAGTCCATCACTATTTTTTACTGGATTTGTAGTGAAATTGCGAAAATAGTTATTTTGGTTCTCAGATTTTCACAGAAATGACTGAACGACAATTCAAAATACTCAGGAAGAAATTAGATGTTACTCTTGGCCGGAAAGTTTGAACTCATGTAAACGAAAACTTATAGCATGCCAGAATCTGGTGAATTACCACTAGTCATCTTATTGCAATGATCAGTGCAAACAAAGGGTGTAATGCCAAAATATGGGACTCTTTATGTCCTTCCAGCGAGCGCAGTTCACTAGGTTGTACTGATTGACGCGTGATAGTTCAGTGGTGTTATCTCCAGGCAACCCGATCATTAACCGGATTAGAAGTGGTATGGAATATGCACATATATACATATATATATATATATATATATATATACATATATATATAATGCAGTTGTAGGTTAAACCTTTTGTTATTCGTACAGAGTCTGTTTTTTATATTAGATATACATACATATATTTATTACTTAGATATTATATATTACCTATTTATTTTATATCTATTCTATATCTATTCACCCTATCTATTGCACTAATCTATTCTATATTAGGTAGACATGCCAGAAAGATATTACATATTTATGCTTCATTCCATATTAGTATAGAGCAAAGGATGACCTTTCTGTGGAATTCGGATGGTAAAGCTTTTCAGGAACGTGGTGAATCAAAAGAGGAAGGGAAGAGAAGGAGAAGAATTGAGATTGATTGGAGAGGAAATGGAGACAGAGAAGAAGAGAGGGATAAAGAGTGAGAGAGAAATGGCGAGAGAGAGAGAGAGAAATAGGAAGAGCTTCGTGAAGCCGCCTCAGATTTTCTGCTCAGAAACGATATTACAAAGTAAAAGCCGGCTCAACCCAAAGCTGAGCACCTCTGTTTATAACTTTAACGCGATTTGCAGTCGTTCTCTATTTGATGATCAGCTGGAAACAACGATGCTAGATAGATTTCTTGTTATGAAATGTGCACTTATGTGCGAACGGCAGAGGAGCAGTCAAACCTTCCCAAGTGTTCTCAATGTCTGCAATGGCCCATGAAGAATAGAGCACTCATAGAAATGCAAAAATGAGTCTTTGTCAGCAGCTAATCATGAACTTTAGGACTTCTAACGCATATTTAGTAGCCTGTTCTGCAGATGACAGCCGATGAAAACGCAATATCAGCTGTTTCGTAAAGTACAAAAATATATATGTTGAATAAGAAATGAACGAGAAACCTTTAGACGATGAAGGACATTTTGGAATATTTCGACGTATATTAAAAGCTTGGCTTCCTAAAAAGTGGAGTGACAATACCTACATGTGCGTCAGAACAACTGCGATTATGTTCCATTACCGATACGTTGACTATCACTGACGGCCTCATCGACCTCGGTGGTGGATCTGAACTGGCAACCGGAATTCAAGCAAACTGGCAGCCAAAACTCACTGGCAAATCACCGCGGAGAGAGGAATGTGTTTGTATTGTTGATGAGCGGGAGGCCGCATGTGAGAGGTAAATCGCTGTCGCAGTAGGGGAATCTCGACCTCTCCACGAACAGCTAGGGCCGAGTGCCGCCGGCAGTTGCGCCTATAGCAACGCCTAATGACGGCCATCGATGTTGGATGGCTGGTCGATTCAAACTAATAAGTTGGCATAGATCAAGCTGTGCCGTCAACGCTTTACAATCATTTGCAAATGTTTCGATCGGCTAAGCTGGAGATTGAAACAACAGATAGGCAGACCGATTGGGCAGTAATGCGTCATACAGCTTATCTTTCCACTGGCAAAGGTTTAGACATACAAAAAAAAGCGCGGAGTATTCGCGATGTTCACATTTGTGTAACACTGCACTCAAACAGTAAGTCTTATGGTTCAGAGTACACAATTCACTCATTTGTCACCTGTTGGTGGGCTACATATCCCTAAAAGCTAGTTAAAACGAGAATGATTCCGTCGAAATTAATTGTGAAGGATGGAGTGGCTGCGCAGTGATCTGGCCTTACCCACTGTTTTTACCATTGGGAAGTTTTATGTAATTAGGTTGATTTAAGTTGGACAAAAGCAGCGTTACAACGTCACTCTGAAAATGTGAGTGGTGTGCCAGAGTTTCAAGCATTTGCAAATTGTCTCCTTATCGTCTTCAAGTGGTAGATGCACCACGTCTTGAGTCCGACCTGAATTGATTTCCACTCACATGCGTCAGAAAAGTATTGTGCCCGTCAAATTTAAATGAGCATGTCTCAGTCCGTATTGAAATCTATCACTTGAAGTAAGATCGTTTAGAATCTGCATGTCTTCGCCGATACAATCTATAACGGATTCATAGTTTCGTGTAGCCCAGAAACAGCTATTTTTTTTTGACGCTCCTATTTCAAACGGCTCGACAATTGGACTCCATCATGAGACTCTCCTCCAATGTATCGCTGATATTTACAGTTGATAGGTCTCCTTTTGAAAATTGAAAACGACACATTTTG